TCTAGGAATCTGTCCATTTCTTCTGTGTTGCCTAGACTCTCATTTTAAAATTTTAAATTTATTTGTTGACAGCAATGAATTGAGAATCACAAAATAATAAAAAGTAATAGCCTAAATTCTTAGTAGGCACAGCCTATTAAGAAGAAATTGCAATCAAATAATTGTTACTATTTCTCAGTAGAATTTGTACTATTATATCACAATAATTTTAGATGTAAATGATTGCAAAAGACGGTATTTGAGTCCATTATAGTAACAGTGTCCCTATAAATACCTTCACTATATTCTCAAACATTTAAGTTGAGGGTGAGGTGAGAATTTCAAGTAATGTGTGGTGCGATGTGTTTGTAGAATCAAGCAAGGGAAGATCCACTGTCAAACCATTGATTTAAATCCATTCTTTGATGGGCTTGGGAATATATTTTAATAAAACTTCCTGAGTCTACCTTTTCATAGTTTTAGTAAAAAGTCATAATTAACTCTACCTTTCTAGGCCTCCATGGAAGAAGGATGATTATAATTTATCTAGCTCACTCCAATCTAAGCACACTATTAGGACTTGTATTAAATACACCATTAGGACTTGTATTATAATCAGATGAGGCATTAAAAGTAGAGATTATAGATATAAAAAGCAAATGACTCATTTGCTTTGTGACATTTTCAAGGACAACTCAGTACAAATATAAAAAGATCATAGCTGTTATACACTAAGCACTATAATAGAGCCCAAAGATACACCAACAAGCAAGACTAGACTCTTTGCAAAAGGGGCATATAGTACAATACAGGTCAACATGTAAATACATATAGAAAACAATGTTTGTTATACACTGGTAACAGATGATTATATCCAGTATAGAAGTAGTCAGAGGAAAGACTATTTAATTTGATCTCATACAACCTCATATTATTGCCATGTAAGTAAATTCATCTTAATTTTTATCAAAAGTACTTTACATAAACTATTTAAAAATTTAATTTGCTTACTTGACAGATAGTTCCTCTGGCCTGAATTATCTTTATGACAGCCATAATTGGAATCCAAATAATGCAGAAAATAATCATACACCAGCCTACAGCAACTGCCCAGTCAGGGTATGGAATTTCAGCATACTCAGGATTATGAAATTTCACCAATGACCAGATTAAAATTGTCTATAAAAGTAAAATATGAAAAGACAAAGCTAAAGACTAGACTGCACAGATGAATAGCAATTTGATTTCATTTTTAAGAAGTAATTTCTCAAAACTATTAAAATGAAGATACAAAAACTAATCAGATAACAAGCCAGAAATTAACAAAATGAATTGAACCACAAATGTGTTTTTTCTTTAAATGCATGCTACCAAAATTAATACTTCTATATATTTATAAAAGATATGAATACTTGTTCAACATACAGTATATTTCAATCAAATGTTTGCCATGTAGCAGACTGAAAATAAAATAAATATAAATAATTTCATTATTAAGCCTTTTTTCTTTTTCCTTTTTATTAGTAGAGTATGTGTGATACATAATAAATGCATTAATATTGGAGAATTGGGACATATATATCACAAATTGATCCCTTTTACTTCCCTTTCCACACCTTCCTGCCTTTCTCCATTCCTTTATTGAGTATTACTGAACTTTCAATTTTTTTCATTTAGATTAATTTGTTTTTATTTTTAATTTTTAAATAAAAGCATAAAATGTACATATTAATGGGAGCACTGTGTATTGTTTTGATACATGCATACATTCTATAATGTTTAAGTAAGATTGAACATCTATTTTCTCACATTTATCATGACTTTATGATGGAATTTTCAAAATTATTTCTTCTTTTTGAAATATACAGTACATTATTGTTATCTATAATAACCATACTGTGCAATAACACACTAGTGCTTCTTGCTCCTACCTAACAGTAACTTAGCATGCTTTAATAAATCTCTTCTATTCTCTTCTCACCTTACTCTCTGCAACCTCTGGTAACCCACCATTGTCCTCTCAAGTTTTATGAGATCAAATTTTTAGATTCTACATATGAGTGAGACCATGTCACCCTTGTCCTTCCATGCCCAGCTTAATTTACTTAACATAATGATTTCTTTTCCATTCATGTTGTTACAAAGGGCAAGGTTTCATTCTTTTTATAGCTAAGTAGTATTTTCCAGGAATATGATTGTTGCCAAGTATGAGGTGAAAAAAACAAACTCTTGCAAACTGTAGGTAATAATGTCAATTAGTACAGCCATTATTGAAGCACCCAGTATGGAAATTCTTCAAAAATTTTAAAATTGGGGCTGGGGATTTAGCTCAGTGGTTTCGCCGCCTGCTGTGCAAGCGCAAGGACCCGAGTTCGATCCCTGGTACCAAAAAAAAAAAAAAAAAATTTAAAATTCAACTATTGTATGATCCAGAAACCTCACTGTTGGGTATATATCCAGGAGAAATTATCTCTCTTTTATAATAAAATGTTTTATTCTATGCCATAAATAAATATCCAGCATATATATTAATTCAACAGGAATGTAAAAGTGCTTTTTTCCTGGACATGTTTGTCTCCTTGCTTAGCAATTGTTTCTATTATTTTTCACTCCACAGAGCCCCTCTCTCATCATTTCAAAGCACACATGGGTTTACACATACACTACTGGAGCATTTCTACCAAAAGACAATTCACTCCCAGACTTTCATTGAGCAAAAAACAAAATAAGTGCAAGTAACACAAAATATGAAGCTTCAAAATGAAATCACTTTAAATTCAGGTCATACAAATGATTTTTAGAAAGCTAACAGACGTATTGAGGCATTAAAACTACTTTAAAATCTGCAAAGTAAAATAAAATCTCAAAATCCCCTAGTAATTTCTCTAAATTTAGCCATCTTTATTTTAGAAAAAAAAAGAAAAGAAAACAATGGATTCTAACAATCTTTATAAACAGATATTCAAGTAAAATTTTAGAACTGAATGGATTAACTCCACTACGACAATTTACTTATAGTAACTTAAATGTATTTCACAACTGCCAAAGTTGTACATAATTATAAGAAAATGAATGAGGGACAATGGAGTCTAATATACATAATTTTATACAAGATAGTTGACAATGTGTATCATTTAGTATTTAAACCTTTTGCATTTAAAATAAATGCAATTGTCAGACTGATGAAATCAATGGAAACTAGCTGGTTAAAAGGTCTAGTGGGATCCTGTAGGGTGATAAAGAGCTCATTTTATTATATAGATTTGTCAAATGAGGAAAATGACAGTTAATGGCACAATTGAAGACCTTTGCTGAGAATGTGGAAAATATAAGTATTTTAATTCATCACATCCAGGCCCAAACTACTCGCTACTTGAAACAGATCTCATAATTCTAAAAACATACATAAATCCTAACACCTAGTAAAAGCAATCAAAAGCAACCAAATACAAGCAATCAAAAGCAATCAAATACAATACTTCTAATGCAAATTATAGATCAAATTACTTAATGATCTCTTCTAGGGAAACCTTTGAAACATGAAGAAAATGAGACCAAAATATATCTATGAAGCTTTGCCACCACACCAGCCTCATCATTAACTCTAGTCCATAGTAATTTTCCATCCCATGAAGTGTTTGTTTTGTGATTAAAGTCTTTCCTTTCTTGAACTATTATTTGAATACTTCATGTCTATATACCATGTCTCTTCAATAAGACATCATTTGCTTTTCCTCAGCTCCTAAATAGTACTAATTGTTGAATTTATTAATATAAAATCATTGGCTCTATTGACACCTGTGAATTTCTTGTACTAATTGCAGAAACTAAATACATCTTTGGTAAATAGAAAAAAATACACATTAAAATTTGAATGTTGTCTCTTAGCAAGCAGTATATTTAAAATGAATTCCTTAAAGGTGTCATCTAGGCCTTATGTGTCTTTGTACTTTCTGGAAATGGAAGACAATATAATTGGCAACTCAGTATACTTTTTAGGGAATGAACAGATTCATGATTTCTTTTTTATTTATCCAAATGATAAATTTTAACTTATTTGTTTCTGTTTGAGTATATAAGAGGCTCTTTATTTTCTAAATGTTTAAACCCATTGCCTAAAAAATAATATTGCAAAGGCATTTGAATTTAGACACTTTGGAGGCAATACCCATAAATACTGCAAACCTTGAAAATCATTCATTTACAATGTTAGTTTTTCTTCTTGTCTTCAATGTGAATTATTCTCCAAATTTATCTTAGAAACATTTGAATTAAGATTATTGATTCTAAATTAATAATGTATTATTAACTTACAATCAACAGGACAGGTGTAATGGCAAACCAACAAACTCTCCACCATAGCCAGAATATCCACTTCTTTGCTCCAATCATCATTTCTATATCTTTAATGAATCTGTTCCCTCCTAAAGAAAACAATGGCAATAGTAGTACTCATAGTTTCCTCAAATAATCATTGTCAATAAAACTGTCTTTCAATATCTACACACATTCTCAAGCATATACTTGTAATTAATTTTCTTCATAATGTTTTTGCAAATATACTTTAACATTATAAATAATAGTGTAATTACTGATAATACAATTATATAAACATAATGAAAGTAATAAAACTAAACTATTTAATAAAACTTGTAAGTCATTCTCTAATCATTATTTACCATAAATCCAGATGATTCCTATTATTTCCAGTATAGCTGCAATCAAAATGCCCCATCCAGCACAGAAGTGGTCAATCAGAAGAACCCAGTAAATTCCAGCCTACCAAAAAAAATGATTATTTCTAGAAATATTTTAATTCTTCTTTTATTTGATTAAATGTTCACATAGAAAAAATTAATTTGAATTTAATACATTATCCTTAGTCTCAGTTCTGTTAAAAATATGAAAGAGTATTTTAAATATTAAACATCTTACATTCTAGTGAGTCACTTACAATAGCTATCAAAAGGGTTTGCAGTATCTGTATATTTTGTAGTAGCTTCCAAGAAACCTACATGTTTAAAGTCTCTAGTCTTACTGTATTTTGGGAAAAAGAAAATTGTCTTAAAACTTGGAAAACCCTGATCCAAACAGAACATGGACTTGTCACTAACCATTCTCTTAAGTCTTTTTTTTCTCTTTTAGATTCTAAAGTATTTTGTAACTAGCATTTTGTCTTATGTCTTTTTTCTTTTAGATTCTAAAGTATTTTCTTTTTTTATTCATTAAGTTTATTGGTACACTTTAGGTATATAATATGCTGACATTCATTATTGGGAATTTGTACCTTTCCATAATATATCTCGGTTCTTATTTTTCCCCATTCCCCTGCCCTCCGTTCAACCTCTCTACCCCTCCCTATTTAGAAAGACTTTGTTTCCATTTTTTCTTTTTCTCATATTTATTCCTTTCCTTTCTTTCCTTTCCCTCACCCCTCCCACTTTCCCTTCCCCTTTAGACCTTTTCTTCCTATTTCACATTGTCTGTTACACATTTTGATCCTTATTTACACTTTCAGTTTCTCACAGCAAACCATTCAGTATTTAAACATGTGTGTCCTATTTATTTCACTTAACAGTATGGCCTCAATGTGCATCCATTTAGCTATAAATATCTGTAGTTTGTCATTCTTTATGGCTTAGTAGTACTCCATTTTAAAAACACACAATTTTTCTTTTCCCTTCTTTCCTTTCCCCTACCCCTCCTACTTCCCCTACTCCTTTAGACCATTTCTTCCTATTTCACATTATCATGATGAAAGTAACTGTATTGTATACCTAAAATGTGCCAATAAACTTAATGGGAAAAAAACCCCACATTTTCTTTATCGAGTCTCCAGTTGATGGGCAATTGGGCTGTTTCCACGGTTTTGGCTATTACAAACTGTGCTCCTATGAACATGGGTGCACATATATCACTGTGGTATGATTCTTTTAATTCTTTTGGGAAGATACCCAGCAGGGGGATAGCAGGGTCAAATGGGACCTCTAAAGTATTTTCTAGCTAACAATTTGTCTATGAAAAGAAAAAGCTGTAATATACCTGAGTCACACAGACAAGACCAAGGAGGAACAAAACCAAGCAGCAACCCAAAGTTATAGGAACCCTCATTTTCTTCATTACTTTGGGAAATAAATCTTGAATTGTTGTTGTAATCGTTTCTTCAGAGGAAAAAGGTGACATGTTATAAGACTCCTCAATTAAGTTAATCACAGCATTCAACTTTCATCCTCTATTAATCAAATTTACAAATACATATAGAAAATATACTCGGGGCCCTCCCACCTTAAAATAATCCATAATGTTCTTTCTCTTAGCAATGATCACTCATTGAATTTGCTGAAAATCAAAAGAAGCTTTATTTGTTGTTTTAAGTCTGTTTTATAAAGGTTTTTACTAATTGTAACTATAAGGTATCAGGTCCCCAGGAGCTGAAGTAATTTGAAAAAGATTTTTAGGGAAAGAAGAATTCTAATAGGACTTAAATCAGGTGACTATTTTAATAACTGCCATATAGAAAATAACCAAATAAAACAAAAATAAGTGGCATAGAGATAGACATTCTATGTTTAAGAAATATGTATCCATTAAATAGGGAACTTTCCAAGAATAGAAGGACTTACAAGTGAAAGGATTAAAAAATATGTTTGAGATTTTCCAAGGGCTTTGAAAGCCAACCAGAAGAACATGAACTTCATCATATAAACAGAATAAACTATGACAATGTTTTCTACATAAAAGAATAATATAATGGAAATTGTTTCAGAACTTTCTACTTTTGTACTGTAGGGGAAATTTCTATGTGTAAATTGAGTCATGAATAAGACAGTTATTGCAGCAATGTGTGTAATTAACAAAAAAGGAATCCAGATACCCATCTATATGGCACAAGATTTTGGATTAAATTTATTAATATGTTTATGTATCAACATGGATCCATATTGCATATAAAATAATTGTCAAAGTAATATGTGTGCTATGAAACTTCACATTTCATATTCATCTAAATATGAAAGATGTAAGTTTTATGTTGTTCATGGGTATACAAATAAATGTCTACAAACATTGACTGAATAATATATAATCCAAGGTGATGGTTGACTAGAAAAAAACTGTGAATTACATTAGTGAAAGAAATATAGAACACTTAAGAGACTTCAAATTCAGCTACAACAAATTATTTTCTAAATATATCTGAAACAAATGTAAAAATATTCCTTTTTAAATTAAAAGTTAATTCAGAAAGATCATTATGAGAGTAATAGCTGTAGGAAATAATAGAAGAAAATGATGTTTTCAAGGAAACATGAATAAAATCTGAAGGTTTGGTTAACATTGGAAATACATATTACTTACCAATGGAAGCAAACTGAGAATCAAGACCCAAAGTTAAAAGCATGAAGAAAAATAATATGGACCAAAACGGACCTCCTGGGAGTTGGGCTAGAGCTTCTGGATAGGCAATGAATGCCAAATCAAAACCTAAGAAAATATATGGCATTTTAAGTTAGTTGTAAAGAAAGTTCACATTTTTTATCTTCATAATTTTATTTTTAATTTTTATTAGTACATGTTTACAATATATAATGATTACATTTATCACGCGGGTTGGTACATGTACATAACACATCTTAATTCTTTTTAAATATGCTACCCCTCTGCCCTCTCTCTCCTCCCTCCATCTCTTGTTTCCCTTCCCTTTGGCAAAAGGTCTATCTCTCTGTTTCCTATTATCCATCTTTTATTTTGGTCTTCAAATTTACTTATATTTTGGGTTTCTCCTACAAGAGAGACTTTGCAATATTTAAGCTTCCGTTTTTTATTTATTTCACTTAATATTATTATCTCAAGATCCATCCATTTTCCTACAAATGACTCAAGTTTATCCTTCTGAAAATTAAAATAACACACAAAAAATCTCACCTTCCTTGCAATGTAATACACGACATGCAATCCTTTCCAACTATCTCCCTTTTGCTTTTTAAAATATTTGACTTGGGAGAGTATGGCCTCAATATGCATTCATTTAGCTATAAATGTCTCTAGTTTCTCATTCTTTATCTCTGAGTAGTACTCCGTTTTATAAAAAAAAACACATCTTCTTTATCCAGTTTCCAGTTGATGGGCGCATGGGCTGTTTCTAAGCTTTAGCTATTACAAACTGTGCCACTATAAACATAGGTGTGCATATATCGCTGTGGTATGATTCTTTTAATTCTTTGGGGAAGATACCCAGCAGGGGAATAGCTGGGTCAAAAATGGAAATGAAATCTATGTAAATAGGGAAGGGTGGAGGGGATGAAGGGCACACAGGTAATTGGGGAAAAAGTAAGAACTAAGATACATCATGTACATGTACAAGCACCCAATGATAAATGTAAACGTATTGTATACCTAAAATGTACCAATAAAAGAATTTAAAAAAAAAAGAATTGCACTACTGAGAAAGATATACATATCTAACTAACTTTTTATTCTTTATCCTCTTTTCAGATGTTTACTCAGAATCATTAAGTAATGTCATTTTAATGATTTATGGATGCCAGAAAAATGTGTATGCAGAAAACTATAAATTTAATCTTGTTTTCTATTTTCTGTTACCATTAGAGATGTTTATTTTGTTTCATTTGATATGCTCTTCAGTCTTATGTACTTTAAATTTCTCTAACTTTCCAGAGAATTAACCTAAGGTTCACAGAAATAAGCTTTTAGTCTAAGCTCTATCATAGGAATGAGCTTTTAGTCTAAGCTCTATCACTTCCTAAATATTTGGCCTTATGAAAGACATGGGTAAATATTTCTGTTCATCAATCTACTTTGAGGAGTTGGAAATTAGGAAATCTCCAAGGTTCCTTCTAATCTTGACATTCTGTTAGCATTCATCAGTATTTCCATCAAAGGATACTAGCTATAGTAAAATTTCAATAAGGAACTCCTACTTAAAGAATCTTACAATTCTTTTTCTAAGAATCTTTAGCCAGTTAATTAAACATCCTTAATGTCCTTTTCCTTTCCTTTATTTTCAATTTTTATTTTTATTAGTACATGTTTGCTGTACATAATGATTATATTTATTGTGGGAAGTTGGTACATGTATGTAATGCACCTTAATTCTTTTCTCGTACACTTCCCCTCCCATCCTCAATCCCTCCCTCCATCTCTTGGTCCCCTTCCCTTTTGGAAAAGATCTATCTCTCTATTTCCCATTGTCTATCTTTCATTTTGCCCTTTATTTATATTTTGGGTTTCTCATATAGGAGAAATCATGTGATACTTAAAATTGTGTGTCTGATTTATTTCACTTAACATTATCGTCTTGAAGTGCATCCATTCTTCTACAAATGCTTCAAGTTTATTCCCTTTAAGACACACCATTAAATTTGGGAAGTTCATTAATCAGATTCCCTGCAAGCTAGACATAGTCAAAGTCACTGGAATCTCCATATAATTTTGATACATTTAATATTTCAGATATATATTTTGGGTTTTTATATAACACTGCAAATATGCACTAATAAGAATAGATAAATAAATAAATATTAAAATTTAAATGAACAAAATTCACATCTAATGCTGGAATTGTACATAAGAAAATTTGTGTACTGTATATGTTATCTCTCTCTCTCATAATCCATTGGTGTGCCTAGCATAATGCTAGAACTTGTACTTATGAAATAAGAGGCACATATTAAAAACTGAACAAAATCCGGAAAAATATTGTGGCTTGTTAACAAATTATTCCCCAATATACTCTTGTTTGCCAAGATCATCTAAGAATAATAATATTATTAAAACATATTATATAAGATGAAATAATGAAAATGCCATATCTTAAATCATAGGTATAAATTTCTATAAACTATATACGAATTTCATAAATGAGCTACATTGAATTAATCAAATTTGAAAAAACATAGTGTTGTATACCTGATTTTACAACTTGAGAGACTTCCTTTCCAGATATATGAGCCATATGTCCCAATATAGAAAAAATAGCAAATCCAGCAAACACACTAGTGAGGCAGTTTGTTAAACAAACTACAATGGCATCAGAGAAGCAATTGTTATTGAACTTATTGTAAGATGATAAAGCAACTAAGCCACCCCATGCCACTGAAAGGGAGTAAAATATTTGAGTGGCAGCATCTTTCCAAACCTGTAAGAGAAAATTAAGATTTTAAAACAGTATAATTTTAATTTTTCACATTTATAAAATATTCCCATATACATATGAATATATTATAAAACAATGAAACGAATACCTAAGCGCTCACTATACAGTTTAAGAAATAAACCAGTCTTCTAAAGCCTCCTTGTACCCCTTCCCCATTATATCACCCTTACAATATCCAGTGGTAGTTGCAGTTCCAACTTTGGTGCTTATTGTTTCCTTATTCGTTTTTATATTTAGCTTGGCAAGTTTTTGAATTTTTAGAAAAGTTATCTCAATACATGTAAATTTATACAGCATGTTTTTTCATTCATTATTGTCAGATTTATCCATTATCAAATGGAGCTCTGTAAAATTTCAATTTAATTCAAAAAATGAAACAGTATAGGCAAATTTATGTGGTTAAATTGAACATATGCAGTTTTAATCATTTTTCCAATTTTACATTGTCCCAATGTATATACTGCAGTTTATTCTTTCCCTTGGTAATAGGCATTAGGCTGCTCAATATTTTGCCATGAATCTGTGAACATTTTTGTACATATATCTTCATTATCTAGGTGGGGAAGTGTGATGTCAAAGAGTGTAAGTATCCTCTCTTTTGCTAAATCTTTCCAAATTTTTCTCCAAATTGGTTGTACCATTTTGTACTCCTACTAGATGGTTATGAGACTTCCCATTCCTCTATATCCTTGTCAACACTTGGTCAGGATTTTAATTAGATCAAATCTAGTAGCTGTGAAATGAAATTTGATTACTCTCATTTTCCATAGGATTTTTTCTCTGTGGAATTTCTATTTGTATATTTTGCAATTTTTTTAGTTATTTGCCTTGACTTCTAAGAATTCTTTATATATTTAGATTTTCATCCTTTTTCTCTTATATCTGTTGATGTTTCCCCCAATTTGTATTTGTTTTTCATTTCTTTGCATTGCATTCTTTAGTGAACCAAAGATTTTGTTGTTGTATAATATAATTGAATGTTCTTGATTTTTGTTACTTAGAATATACTTAGCCCAAGGTTATGAAGGCAATATTGTATATCTTCTTCTAAAAGAAAAAAAATTGCTTATATTGTTAAAATTTCAATTCATCTTAAATTGATATTGTGCATATTAATGCATGAATTAGCAATTTGTATTATTAAGTGAGGGTAATAAAAATACATTAACTCTTAGCAAGAATAATAGAAGATATCCCCCCTTATTCTTCATATAATTCCATGCCTTATTATTCCTCTTTCACAATTTACTGCTCTCATGTTTATGTTAAAGGTCAATAATTAGTCTTACAAACCAATTTAGGTAAAATTCTTTGCATAGACATTTTTCCCAAAGGAAAAGTATCTACCCAAGTTTCAAATAAAAGGGTGGTATATATTTGAGGAAAAGTGTCATTTTAATACTTCATAAGCTGGATTTGTTAGTGGAAGGCAGGCAATAAAACAGTGACTACACACTATTTCTGGAGTAAAAAAAAGTAAGGTTTATATCAGCTTCTCTCACTTCCTTTCACTTCAATGTACTTAATATGTTTAATTTTGCTTCTTCATTTTTACGATGGAGATTGAAAATACTAATAAAGCATGCACCAATAAAAATTTAAAATAATAATAATGTCCAAAGAATTATGTGGAAAGAAATAAGAAAAGAAATTAAGAAGCTGCTCAAAAGTGGCTATTATTGTCATTATGGGAAATAATCATAAACTGATGATCCATTTCTTACAGAGAATTTAAAAACAATGATTTGAATATTATTTCAATTGAACCAAAGTTGCTAGGGAGTAAACATATTACAGGTTTTCAGAATGCAGTTTGAATTTAGATTTCAGGGAGCCAGTATGAAGCAAAATGGATGGATGGATGGATGGATGGACAGATACATGAAAGATAGATACATAGATGCATTCATACATAATGCATAAATTCAGGTTATTTTGCTTACATATAACAAAATTATGTTAGGAAAAAGTGTCCTCTTATTTCTTAGATTGTTGTCTGTATTAAGAGTTGAATACCATGGATATCCTGGTCTCTGATCCTCTTTTATTTGATGTATTATGTACACATATGTGACTCACTGGGAGCTGGAGTTGTATGTGGCAGTTTTGGATTACATACAAATGCTACTGCATAATATGATATGTGCTTCCGTTGCCAAAAATTGTTGAACAATGTTCCAAACTCTCTATCAATCTTATACCTATATATAAGATTATTAGATTTAGGTTTAGGAAATTTTAATTTTAGTTGCATTAGTTTTCTGTGTACACTTGGCTAGCTTGAATCTTTCTGCATTTCAGATTCATCACTGTAAAATAAAGGAGTTAGTAAAATAACCTCGGAAGACTACTCTAGGTATAAATTTGCATGGTTCTTTAATTTCCTGAAGACCTCAGTAGAGTTCTGATATTCAAAGAAAATGAAAAAATATATACTTATGGTTTCATCTTTAAAATGTGGATCAGGAGGAATAAAAAAGATCTAAGAAAAATAATTCTAACTACCAGAAAACCCAGAAGAAAGAGTGTGGTGGAATTGTGTTGGACCGTGGAGGAGCCAAAGGATTAAATTTTACATTCCTTCTCGATGAAATTTTAATTTTGCAATTGTATGTAGCTCTGATATTTTTAACTAATAGAGAAACTGAAACATAAATCAATATAAAATAGTCATATATATTTCTTGAGATAATCTAAAGGAAGTATAAAGCCCAGGTGTCTGGAGCGTGTAATAGCAACTTAATATCAAAGGGCTTTTATTTTCTTTTGCTTTAATTCTTATTCTTATATGTACATGTTTCCAGTACATAATGATTATATTCCTTATAGGGAATTAGTACATGCACATAACACATCTTAATTATTTTTTCAGCCCCTTTCACTCCCCCTATCCCTCCATAGGTCTTTTGCAAAAGGGAAGGAGCAGAAAGGGCTTTTCAACTGTGCTCAAAGTAATTAACTAAGTTTAGAGAAAATGGTGGGCCTATTTCTTAGAGAAAATGCTGCAATTATAATATTATAGTATAATATAATAACAGTATTTAAAATAATTATGTATTAGGTCATATTTATATGAGTTTACCAATTCCAAAGTGCATTAACTTATTTTATCTTATTCAATAAACCTAAAAAAATCTCAGTTCCCAATTTATTTGTTACTTACCACAGAAATAATATTTAAGTTGGGAAGAGATTAACAAATATAGTTAATATGAGTGAGCCGCAAGATAAATAAAGAAATATATTAAGATGGCTAGAGGACACATCAGATGCATTAATCTCCAAAACAATAATAACATGTCATGGTTCTAAATAATTTAGAGCTATCATGAATAATCATTGAGTAAAACTTGCTGAGCACAATAAAATGAACCAAAGACCAGAAATACATATTTCAGTTTTCAAAAAAATGTTAGTAACAGATTCCTATGACTAAAGCTGATAAATTTGACATTGAACACCAGGAAGATTCTACAAAAAATATTTAAATATCTGATTGTAAGTATTTAGAAAAGAAAATATCAATGGCTGGAAATTATTATGAATTCCACAGAGAACACCATAACAAACTAAAATTAATATCCAGTTGGGTTAGAATTACTAGTATGAGAGAAAGTATTAGCATAGTTTTCTTTACTTTAACATAAGATTAGAAGTTTTTAACTGACTAGATTCTTTGTATGTGCCAAGAATGTGATTTGAATATCATAAATGTGAAAATATACTTAGCTTGTATCATAGAAGCATAGTATCTAGAGTACACTTATTGTTAATGCACTCTGAAGTTAAAATTTTAGATTTTATGTTCCCATGATGCACAGGTATTACTTGGAAATAGACTAAATTTAAGAGTTACCCAATTCATATCCATGGCACATTTTCATGTTTGTAGTATAAGTAACAGTTTTCTTTATGGAATATTTTTTTCTTTATGGAAAATTTAATCCATGTTAAATTTGTGTTTTGACTTTATAATCCATTAGGCAAAATTGATTTTATTTTTGGTATCTTGACTTTTGAAGATAATTTAAAAATATATTAGATCATTAAACTTTGAATAACAATTTTTAAAGCTACTATGAGTTTATTCAATAACTCACATAGTCCTAACCAAATTTTGCAGAAATTTATGCATTAAATATTCCTTTTCAAAATAATGTAATGCAAATCCTGTTGATGAAAAAGATTCAGTTGGAGGGCCGGGGATTTAGCTCAGTGGTTCCTCCACCTGCCTCGCAAGCACAAGGTCCTGAGTTCGATCCCCAGTACCAAAAAAGCAACAAAAAAAGAATCAGTTGTATAAATAAAATGACTTTTGGAACCCTGTTGCACAAAATTATCTTACCTCCAATAAGAAAGCATCAGTGTCATATTATATAGGTAATTAGACATTCTAGTGGGCAGAAACTCTAATGAATTTAAGTATATTCTTTTTGCAAGCTACTGTATCATGATACTCAGATAGAAACAAAGAGTTGAAGTATTTGATTTCAAGATTTACCTCCTCAGATAATTTCAAGCCAGAATAAAGTCTTACCTCAGCTTCCTTAAGTTTTGTAAAATTTGATTGTGATCCAATGTAGTATGAGATGCCTTTTGATGCCCCCTCCAGAGTTGCACCTCGTATTAAAAGAATGAGTAAGACGGCGTAGGGAAAAATAGCTGTAAAATATACCACCTGCCAAGAAAAACAGTGAAAGTTAGTGTTATTTTAAATCATTGTATATAATTATAGACAAGTAAAATTTTTAGCCAGTTCAGAGAGTCAAACCACTGGAGATTTCATAAGGTTATTAATAACTCTGATGATACCAATACCAAAGTTGGCATAATTTCCTATTTCTGTTCCCACTATCAAATGATCCATTTCCAAAATCACTTTGATGCATGAAGCAATATTTCCCAGGCTCATGTTGTAAATAAATAATACATCAGCAGTGATAGCTTTGGATCTACGTGGAATGCTTTCTTAAATACAGCCTTATAAATGTCTGATTGAACCGAATGTCTTTTTTTCAGTACATTATTGCATCAAGATATGAAGGAAAATTATTTTAAAACCTGCAATGCTTAGCATATATTAGGCCCCCAGAGAAAAAGAAAATATCTCCTAGTAGATATCCAAATCCCATTGAAGCTTTATTAAAGTGAATACTGAATACTCATTATTTAAAGCTCCTATTAAGAGATTTTGACAGCACTCACTCTAGTGTGCTGCTTCCATCCTAGAAAATACGAGGTTCCAGAGGAGCAGATTGCCTTTGAGGCTAGCTTTTCATTAACATTGATGATTTTTGATTCATAGCTCTTCTGTGTTTGATAATATCACCAAGCAAATGATTTAAACAAGTCGCCTGGAGACCAATAAAGAATAATTGCCTAGATAAATGGCCTTTAGTGGACTCTTCAAATATTAACATCAAAAAGGAACCAAAGCTTTCAAAAATGTGCAACTTGAACGTGTTATGAAGTTTCCACTGGGTTTGTGATGTTCACATTATTTTTGTGATATAACAACATGTTTCCTTACAATTTAATGCTAATTGAATGTGCTAGGTGTTGTACTAGAAATACGAACATAAAACCCTCAGTATTTTTGTCCTCCATCTTTCAGGTAAGTTTATTCTAGTAGTTAAAAAGACAAACATACACTCCTGTAATCCCAGCCTTTGGGAGGCTGAGGCAGGAACATTATTGAAAGTTCGAGGTCAGCCTGGGCTACATACTGAGCACAAGGCCAGCCTGAACTAAATAGCAAGACCCTGTCTTAAAAAACATACAGCAAAAAATACGTAAACGTTTACTCTTCTTGGTATTGTGAAACTTCTCACAGAGAAAATTTCTTGTTTTCTAAAATTGTCATTGTGCTCTCTGAAAGTTTAAAAATAAAACAATAGATAAAATAGAATTTATTTTAGAAGAGTAGGTTCACCTTTCAGTGAACTCGCAGGTTCTGACTCAATTTTGGAAAACTTTGATTTTAGAGGATAATTGTATAGTACTTTTCTATGTCTCTCTGTAAAGGGAATCCTGGTTCTATTACTGTACATAATATGGATCTAGACTTTCCAGTAGTGGGTCAGAAAATTTTAAAATGTATTCTCAAGTCTCAGAATGCTGAATCAACTAAAGGGTCTGAGTTTTGAGTAACACACAACTCCAGTATTAATTTTTGTTTGTTCTGTTTCTAACAGTAGCAGTAATCTTATTTGTTTACTTAAAATTAAGATGCCTGCTTAGAAAGCTTTTAGCATCTTTGAATGTTCCCATTATAGATAAACCATGCATTTGATAATTCTTAACACTGAACTACAATGAAATTGGAAGGCAGTTACATCACTACCTAATGTGTTTTTCAAATTACCTTGCCAGAAGACTTGATTCCTTTAATTAGAGATGCTCCGACTATGAGCCAAGCCAGAAGAAGGCACAGTGCTAAATACCACACAATTTCTCCAGTCTCATCTATTCCACTTGACCGTTGAAGTGCCACTTTACTGAAATATATAAGACCTTTTATGAACACAGAATCATTTGTCTAAAAATAATGAATTCTGTAATACATTTCATCCAAGGGGAAGCTTTATGAATATTGTGTCTTAACAGGAATGTTCTGTGAGCCTTTCATTAATAGATGCTACTGTATAGAAGGACAAAAAACTGCATTAAAAAGCCAAGATCTGAACTTCAGGGGTAAGGACAGCTAATCTAAATTTCCAAAACCTCTAATAATCCCCTAATATTTTAAGCTCCTTTTAAAAGAAATTAACCTTATATCATATGTTTACATTTACCTCAATACAATGTTTTTCTCATTAAAATAATAATGAAAATATTTTAAATTATGTTAAATATTTATTCCATACATGTATATATCAGCAAACTCAAATGGCTCCATTATTCACATCTTTTTCAAAGTCTTTCTGTAAAACTCCATGATTTTTCATGAGTGATGTGCATGAATCTAGAATCTTAATTTTTACCTTGATGTTTGGGAATATTTCAATCTTCAAAACTTTTAAAATCCATATTATAGAATATAGCATAGAGGCTCCTTATAAAATTAAAAAATAGATTTATCATATAATCTTGCAATCCCACTAGTGGATAAATATCTAAAGAAATAAGTACATCAAAGAGACATCTGCATTCCCATGTTATCTGCAGCACTACTCACAATAGCCAGGAAATGAAAACAACAACAACCTAAGTGTCCATCAACTGATGAATGGATAAAGAAAATGTCACACATAATAGAATATTTTCTGTCATATAAAGAATGAAATCTTATCATTTCTGAGAACATGGATGGAACTGGAGAGTGTTATATGAAGTGAAATAAGCCAAGCACAGAAGAAAAAGTACCCCATGATCTCATTTATATGTGGAATCAAAAATAGGTGATCTCATGTAAGTTTAAAATAGAACAATGGTTACCAGAAACTGAGGACAGTGGGGGATGGGAATGGTGAAAGGTTGATCAGTAGGCACTAATTTACAGTTAGATTGGATCAAGAGGTTCTGGAATACTATTGCACAGTACAGTGACTATGATAGTAGCTATGTATTGTAAATTTCAAAAGCTACAAGAGGATTTTTGAAAATTTTTCAAAACACAGAAATGACAAATGTTTAAGGACATAGGTATATTCAACATAGGCATATTTAACCTGATATAAACATTATACAATATATACATTAATATGCACATGTTTTATATTTCCATGTATCAGTTAAAATATTTTAAAAGTTATAGAGGGCATTAATATGCGGATGAAGGAGAGTTCATTCAGTATTAAACTCAAAGGTATTGGGTAACAGTAGTGAGTAGGCATAAAGAAGGATAATTTAAAATTAGTAAAATGTAAATATAACCCTGAATACCTATTCTTACCATACAATGACAATAGCATGCAAAGTAGATGTTGAGGAATTGCTACAATAACAATCGTGCCCCTCAGTATTACCTATTGTTCCATTGTTTATCATTAAAATTTTCTTTCAGGGCCAAGGATTTAGCTCAGCAGCATACCACCTGCCTGGCAAGCTCAAGGTCCTGAGTTCGATCTTTGGTACCAAAAAAAATTTTTTTTCTTTTATAGTTGAAATTTTTTCTTATAAACAAACTCCTAACACAGGAATTTCTGAATAAATCATTAAAGTCTTGTGCCCACTGAACAACCAATTTATAAAAGACACATTGTTAACAAAGTCCTAGTCCTGCAAATAATTACTGTTCACCTAGGATAGATAAATATTTGAATCAAATGAAGTATAATTCTCTATGATTTCCATTTTTTTTCTATTTATGTGAGTTAAGCAAAGGAATGGTCAATATATCAGTCACTTATAAAAAAAACTGTTTAATAACATCTGTTTAAGAAGTGAATCATCTAGTGCACTTACTTCCAATATTGTTCACTGGGAAGTTGCCCTGGCTGATAAATTTCACTGCCATTGATGCATGTATAATTGTTGGCATCTATCCAGCTCATATTCACTTGGATGATGTCTCTTGCTCTTATACTCACATTACAGTGAGTGACTAAAAATGATAGAAGAAATACAGAAACAGTCATGTATTTACTTTTAAAGGAGTACTTTCTTGGAAAAAGTTTAAATGGTAAAATGTTTATTTAAACAACTGTCTAAATTGTTACTTTGTGAAGGTAGAGTAAAAATAATCCACAAATACAATAAACTACTCTCATTTAGCATCTTAAATAATCTCTACTACTAAGCTAAGAGTGAGTATAATACTAACTTCCCTTTTAAACTGTAACGGTATTTATAATAATAACAGATATATAATAACAATTATTTCAGTTGAAGCTTAGTGCGCTAAAGAACTTTTAGTAGGTGGGCTTATCCTATCTAATCTACATAGACAAATTGATACCTTAAAATTCCTCAAAAATATTAAATCTTTATAACTTTATCCTCTGTGTAAACCTGGTAATAGCCTGCAATACTGATGCTATGTTATTCTGAAGATTAACAACATATTGATATGAGCAACATTCACTGTTTCCTGAAGCGCACAATTCTGTGATTATGGATAGTACTTCTCTGTCTCTTTATCACTTTCTCTTTGTCTTATTTCTCTCCTGCCCAAGGCTTAGTCCTGAAAGGTGTTCTGCTTAGCATGGTTTAGCATTCCTGGCTGCCCAAAAGATTCAGATTATATATGCCATATTTGCTTTAACTATTGACCTATGAGCCATTTAAAATTGTATCAAAGTTAGAAAATTATTTACTCCTTCAAGCTTATTTAGAATATATAAAAGAAATGATGTGGAGTTGATAATATTTTAAAAATTAAATCAATGAAATTTACCTATAGGTGATCTGCTACAGTTTTTGTCTGACCAAGAAGAAGAGCAAGTTTTCCATGGTAGTTCACTTTGAAATGAAGCAAACAAGTAGTAAAGACTGTAGCTAATTATGACATTATAATATATTGTCACAAAAATGGATATCAAGACCATTGTAATTCCCACACCTGGAAAAGAGAACAATTAAAATATACTCAAGTGAAATTTGTTTTACTAATTCATTAAACAAGTCCATCTCAATTTTCACAAAATCTATTTAAATGAAAAATAAAGTTTCAAATAACTGTTTTCTTCCTTTTTGAGGAGGAAAGTAAGGGGTACAGGGGAATGGTACTCTCCAAGTAGCTTTCTTCTCATTTTAAAAAAAAGTTTTGACAATTGGTTTCCTAAGACAATTCTTCAGTTAGTTAGAAAAGATAATAAGGATGAGAAAAAAACCTGCATTAAGCAATCAAATTCACATAAAACCTATATCTATTACTCTTTCCTATTAAGTCTGCAAATTCTTGTCAGTGTGGGCACATTGGACAATTTTTAAAGTCAAAACTTGTATTTATTGACTCATTGACCAATACTTACATTTTCATCTCTTAACCTACATTTTAGCAAGGAGAAAATGAAGCCTTTCAATTAATGTCTTTAAAAGACACAGTACAGTATTTCTACAAGTATAGGTAAATAAAACTCAGTAATTCTGTAGCAATTTGATTTTAAACCTCCAAACTTTAACTCCGTAGTTTCAAAATGGAGTTTGGCAGATTGAATATAACTTCTAAGCCTAAGACTTGATTTTTAAGTAGCTTCTCCAATCTTTCAGTACAATATTCTATTCACCTCACTAGGAATTTATTTTTATGTCACACTGAAAGTTTTCCAAGTAATTTTCACCAGGTAGCACATTCCAAAATGATATTTAATCTTTGGAGAATGGCAGTTTGATGTTTTTATAACACTAAAGGCATTTTTCAGCTTTAGCAATGTCCTAGTTTATTAGGAGCATACAGGAAAATAAGGTGACCTGATTTTTAACTTTTCTGAATGAAGATTCTTATATGACGTGTAAAAATAGCAAGAAAAGGGTTGTATACAAAGTAGTTAAAAAGCCAAAGTACCAATAAAATAAAAGTTTTTAAAAGCCAGAGCCAAAGAAGTTAATGCACAACAAACTATGTGTCAAAATAATTTTTAATAAGATGAGGTACCAGTTGTTGATTCTTTGTGCTAGTTCCTGTGCTACTGAGGTTTGTTCATAATTGATAATTTGAAATAGGAAGAAAAGGTCCAAAGGGGTAGGGGAAGTGGAAGGGGAAGGGGAAAGGAAAGAAGGGAAAGGAAAAATTATGAGAAAAAAAAAAGGAAACAAAGTCTGTGTAAATAGGGAAGGGTGGAGGGGGTGAAGGGCGGACAGGTAATGGGGAAAAAATAAAAACCAAGATACATCATGTACAGGTACAAGCACCCAATGATAAAGGTAAACATATTGTATACCTAAAATGTACCAATAAAATAATTTAAGGAAAAAATAAATAAATAAAAATAATTTTTAAAATAAAATTGGAAAAATACATAATGACACTCTTACCAACATTTCTAGTGCCCTTTCTAATCCTTCCCATACTTTCAGTCAGGTTAAACAAATAAATTAACATCTGACTTTCAAATTCTATGTATGGTGTCAAACTACACAGAGAAACAATAAGCATGCTCCTTTGCCTTAAGATGTCAGAATATTATTTGAATTTTTATTTTTAATTAACAGATAATATTGTATTTTTCATGTACACCATGAATTTTTAAGTATAAATACATTGTAGAATGGCTAAATCTAGCTAATTAACAAATTCATCACCTCATATAGCTATCATTTAATTGTTAGGAACACAATTATTATTGTATTTTCAAGAATACAATATGTTGTCATAACTGTAGTTACCATACTGTCACTATTGAATTTGTAAACTTGTAGATTATAAATATTTTGGAACTATTTCTTCTATCTACTTGTAACCATATATCCTTTGACTAGGTACCCCTCCCTTCTATATAAATACTCCAGCCTCTGGAAACAGCCATTCTGTCTTCAGCTTCTATGTAGTCAAACATTTCAGAACATTTTTTCCTACACATAGTGAAGGATACATCAAGCAATAATCATCATGATAATAACATTTTAATACCAACCTTGAAACAATGGCAAAATCTTCCAAACTGAAACTGGACCTAAGCTAGCAAATTGTCCCAGTGAACACTCTAGAAAGAACAAAGGCAATCCAGCCAAAGCCAGCATAATTGCATAAGGTATCAAGAATGCACCTAGAAAAGGTAAAAAGAGAACAAAAGTACTATTACATTTCAAAGTCTTGATGGTACCTTGACAAATAGTATATTTTAAAGATCTCTTGATACACAGAAGTCAGAATGTGCTAGGTTTGGTCCTCAAATTTAGTATTTTCTGTGAGATAAAAGCTGACTCTAAACTCTGAATTTCTCATGTATGAGATGAGTATAATAGCATCTCCTAATGAAGTTATTGCGAATAATTAAAAAAATAGCCCCAGCTTAGGCACAAGGGCTGAGAGATCCCTGCTTGTCTACAGCCACACTCCGTCCAGCTCATCATGCACACTTGCAACCAGCGAAAAGGTGAGGAAGCCCTTGGCACACTCACTGGCAAGCAGCTTAGGTGCAGGGGTGTCTGCAAACCCCCCACCCCCCCACCCCTGCCTCTGGCCTCTTGGCTGTGCAGCTACCTGGTTCCACACTACAGAGGCACAGGGGGACATAAAGGCCATTGTCCTGAGCTGCAGAAGTGAACAATAGATAGAGGCCCCCTCTCTCTAGCTACTTGATGAACACTGAAGCTCACTGAAAAAGTGAAGAGAATCTCTGCAATAAAGGCACACCAGACCACTGTACTTGGTAAGTTAGAGGGATCATCACCTCCCATCAGAACCTGGACTATCTTCAGGGAAAGGGGATCTGGATCCTGCAGTAAAGCCTTGCAGAGTTCAACCCTACAGGAGGACAGGGAGCTCAACTTGGGACTTGCAGCCAGAAATCTGCCTGAATCTGAAGGGTTTGTGACTGGCTTGCAGAGACTCATTGACTTATATCTGCACACTGTTGCCCATGTTGTCTATTGTGACAGCAGAGAAATACCCAGAAGGAGGCCATTCATTTTTGTCTTTTATTTGTTATTTTCAAAATTATTATTAATATTTGTTTGTTCTTATTTTTAATTTTTTTCTACTCTTTTCAAACTTTTATTTTTTTCTTTTTGTTTTCTTGTCTCTTTTATTTCTCTCTCTCCCTCCCTTGCTCCCCTGCTGTCCCACATTGTTCTTCATCTCCTTTTTGTTCCTGTTCTGGCCCTAATTCACATTTCTTTATTCTTCTATCTCTGACCTGTGTCCTCTGGCCTCACTGACAACCTTCCCCTATCATTCTACCTACCTATTCTTCCCTCCCCAACTCCTTCTAACTCCCCATCCCAAAGGCTAAACTTGCTATATTGACGAGTTTATTCACTAAAAGCATATGTTGCATTGGTCCTCAATTTTGATTTAATTCACCCAGTTAAAGATGACAGATTAATAACTACTACAAATTATCATTTTCTAAGATGTACTTGATGCTATGGTGTTGCTGATTGTATCACTTAGACTAAGGGGTTGTGATTGATCTAATCAGTTGTCCTTCCTGGTATAATGAAAATGAGATAGCCTCCGAGCCATTAGAGGCTCAACACCTAAAGACCAGGTATATCTGGAAGACACCTCTGAGAAATGATCATTCCATAAGAGTTCTAAATACAAGCAAAAAAATATTGCAATAAGCAACTTTGAAGTATCAACCCAGGAATTAAACCAAGGACAATACCAAAAACAAAAAATGAAAGACATCTAAGCAAGGCACAAACTCAGACTTCCAGCCCACAAAAGGCAAATACTGGGGGAAATGAGGTGGAAAAGTCTGATAATCAGCCACCTGGACACCCTGAACTGATAGCACAGGAAGTAACAAAACAGATGAATAAGGCTCTAGAAAAATTCGAAGCAGAAGTAATCTCTGAGATAAATATAGAGATGGTGAGCAGAGTGAAGACATGATAAGAGTCTCTAGAACAGAATCAGATAAAAAAAATAGATGAGCCCAGAAACATGCTGGAAGGCATGAATGTCCAGCATAAGAAAGAAATGGAAACCATGATCACCCAGCATAAGAAAGAAATGGAATCCATGAAACAGATTCAAACAGATATCAAGGAGATTAAAAACACCATTGAAAGTATGCACAACAGATTACAGGAATCTGAAGATAGAATATCAGATATAGAGGACAGGATTGTGTTTAATGACCATGAAAACAGAGATTTCTCAAAAATAGTAAGGGACCAGGAGAAATCAACCCAGCAGCTATTAGACGATGCAAAGAAGAATAACATAAGACTGATAGGAGTCCAGGAAAAAACAAGAGAAAGTACAATTGACATAAAAAATCTTTTCACAGAAGTAATAGTAGAAAACGTCCCACACAGAGGTAGAGAATTGGACATACAGATAAGTGAGGGATGTAGAACTCCAACTACTCACAATCAGAAAAAATCTACACCTAGACATATAATAGTCAAGATCCCAGAAACCCAATAGAAGAACAAAATCCTACAAGCAGTTAGAGAAAAGAAACAAATCACCTACAAAGGAAAGCTCATCAGAATCACAGGAGACTTCTCAACACAAACCCTCACGTCAAGGAGAGCCGGGAGGGAAGTATTTCAAGCCCTAAAAGAAAATAACTTCTGACCTAGAATGTGGTATTCCGCAAAATTGCCTTTCTTTTTTTTTTTTGTATTAAATTCTTTTATTGGTACATTGTAGGTATACAACACAATTACATTTCTCATTGGGAATTGTACCTTTACATAATGCATCTTGGTTCTTATTTTTTCCCCATTCCTAGCCCTCCCTTCACGCCCTCCACCCTTCCCTATTTACAAAGACTTTATTTCCATTTTTTCCATTTCTCATCATTTTTTCCTTTCCCTTCTTTCCTTTCCCCTGCCCCTCTCACTACCCCTACCCCTTTGGACCTTTTCTTCCTATTTTGCATTATTGATTATTCATTCTAATCATTGGTACATTTTAGGTATACAATATAATGACATTCATCATTGGAAATTTGCACTTTTACATAGTCTCTCTTGGTTCTTATTTTTCACCCTTGTCCAGCCCTCCTGTCAACCCCTCCATTCCTCCCTATTTACAAAGATTTTGTTCCCATTTTTCCATTTTCTCATATTAATCCCATTCCCTTCTATCCTTTCCTCTAGCCCTCCCACTTCCTTCCCCTTTACCCCCTTTCTTCCTATTTCTCATTACCTATTATACATTTAGTCCTTATTTACACTTTCAGTTTCTCACACCAGAGAAACTATTCGGATTTCAAAACTGATGGGGAAATTATAAACTTCCATGACAAAGAACACCTGAAAAATTTCATGAACACCAAACCAGCACTCCAAACAATTCTAAGCAATATCCTAGAAAAGGACAATGAAGGTCACAACTCCATGAGGTGCAACAGAGGGAAACCATCAGCCAAGCTAAGAAACTGAAGGGAAAGGGGGAAAAAGAAATAAGAAATAAAAGAGCCAACTACAGTAAAACATCATGACAAGGATGAGTCAATATCTATCAATTATAAGTATCAATGTTAATGGCCTCAATTCACCAATCAAAAGAAATAGACTGGAAGAATGGATTAAGAAGCAAAATCCAACAATATGCTATATACAACAAACACACCTAAGCCAAAAAGAAATTCATAGATTGAAAGAAAAAGGATGGAAAACAGTTCTTCACACCACAGGAACCCGGACAAAAGCAGGGGTAGCAATCTTATTTGCAGACAAAGTAGATTTCAAACCAAAACTAATTAAGTGAGACAAAGGTGGTCACTACATCTCTGTGAAGGGAACAAGCCAAGAGGAAGAGATGACAATCATTAATATATATGCACCAAATACGAATGTCCCCAAATATACAAAACAAATATTAATGAACATGAAAAACTGAATAACCACTAATACAATTGTAGTGCGGTACCTCAACACCCCACTATCACAAATAGACAGATCATCTAGACAAAATATTAACAATGAAATTTGAGAATGGAACCAAGCTATTGAACAAATGGACTTAGTAGATGTTTACAGATTGTTCCACCCCACACAATCAGAATACACATTCTTTTGGCCTGAACAAGGGTCATTCTCCAAAATAAACCACATGCTATCTCATAGGACATGTCTATGCAAATGTAAAATAATTGAAGTTAACCCCTGTATATTATCAGACCATAGTGCCATAAAATTGGAGATCACTAACATAAGAAACCAAAAAAAAACCCCACAAACAAGTGGAAATTGAATAACCCTCTCCTGAGCAACTAATTTGTCACAGAGGAAATTAAGAAATTAGACAGTTTCTACAAGTAAATGATAATACCAGTACAACATACAGGAATCTATGGGACACAATGAAAGCAGTTTCATCAGGGAGATTCTTAGCAGTGAATGCCCATATTAGGAAGACAGAGAAAACTCAGATAAATAACGTAATCCAGAACTTCAAGCTCATAGCAAAAGAAGATCATGATGAACCCAAAGCTCATACAAGAGAGGAAATTATAAGGATCAGAGCAGAAATCACTGCAATGGAGACTAAGACAATGATGAAAAAATCAATGAATCAAAGAGTTAGTTTTTTGAAAGAATAAATAAAATTGATAAACCTTTAGTGAACTTTATTAAAAAAAGGAAAGAAAAGGTTCAAGTCCATGCGATCAAGAATGAAAAAGGTGAAGTCACAAAAGACCCAGTAGAAATCCAGAGGATCATGAATACCTACTTTGAGAACCTGTACTCTAATAAAATGGAAAACATGGAAGTGGAGAGATTCCTAGATACATACAAATTGTCAAAGTTAAATTAAGAAGATATAGAAATTTTAAACACTGCAATCACAATGAGTAAAATTGAAAATGTAATCAAAAATTTACCAACAAAGAAAAGCCCAAGTCCTGATGGCTTCACTGCTGAATTCTACAGGATATTTAAAGTAGAACTATTGCCATTACTATTTAAACTCATCAAGGAAATTGAAAGGGAAGCAATACTTCCAAATTCATTCATGGAAGCAAGTATTACTTTGATTCCAAAACCAGAGAAAGATCCAACTGAAAAAGAGAACTACAGGCCAATCTCCCTAATGAACATAGGTGCAAAAATCCTCAACAAGATACTGGCAAACAGA